AATGAAAGTGTATGGAGCTGTAGCTGTGTGTGTGTGAGCAGCGGCCATTGTTGGGGGCACTCACACACACACATAAAGGCGGGCAAAAAAATTTTTTCTTTGCGCTTCACTCAATTTCGATTTTTTTCTTTTGGTCCGTTTCCTTCGAAAAGTTCAAAGTTGCAAGCGCGCTCTCGCTCTTTCACTCAGCATAAAAATACAAAAACAAAAAAAAAACGTAATTCTGTTTGCAAGAAAGAACGAAAGAAAAAATCGGAAAAAATGCAAGCCAAGTGCTTCAGACAGAGGGAGGGGAAATGAGAGCGAGAGAGAGAGAGAAAGAGAGATAGGGACAGTGAATGAGTGCGGGTGGTGTTGAGCCACCCCACTAACTGATGTCCACCTTATTCCCCGTCTCTGTCTTGTAGTTGTCCGTGTGTCTGTCCGTTTCAGCTGCTCACATAGTTGGTCAAAGATAAAGGTGAAGGAGCGAGGGAGATGAAGAGAAGTGCACAGAAAAAAAAAACACTTGTAAGCGAAATAAAATAAACTTGCTCTAACTCGGTCAACAATTAACATGAAGTTTGTACATTGTACATAAGTTAGGAACATATTTGTAACTTGTTATTTTTAAAATAACTTCGTAATTTTATATTATTTTGCAATTATATATTGGGTTATTATGCTTTGTAATGCTTTTATATCATGCTATTTAAATGATTTAGTAGTTACGATATATAAAGTACATATGTACATGCAAATACAAATGCTTTCCGTGTACCACACATGCAATGAGGCCACAGGAGGGGGTGGCACCCAGTGGGTGGTTGGGTGGGCGAGGCGCGACGCATTGGGAAGACCCTCAAGTGTTGGCATGCAAAAAAAAAAAAAAAAAAAATTGCGAAAAAAAACAAAACAAAATATACATAGCAATAAATATAACCAAAGCACATGGCGTGGCAGACACATGCATTTAAAAGTGGGTGCGGGTGCGGGAGAGGGTGAGGGGTTTGGGGGGCTTAAGGGGGGCTAGGGCAACTGGCAACACTAAATCATCTGCGCATGTGTGCGTGTGTGTTGGCTGACCACGTTTGCTAAAAGCATTAAAGCAGCGCCAGCATTAATTAACGCTTAGCGAAAATCGAATCTGAGCTTAACCCCAAAAGCTGAAGAAAAATGAAACCACGAAAGAAGTGTGGCAACGCTGGGGTCAACCGGCATGTGTGCGAGCGAGAAGGCCTGCCTTGGAGCGTAAGAAACCGCTTCTTTGTGCAGCTCTCCCTTTCTTTTTTTGGGGTGAACCCTTTTCGCGGCAAAAGGAGTTCCACTAATTGATTTTAAATGCAAGTGTAGTGGAATACAAGTTTAAAATATAAAAAAAAAAAAATGTAGAAAATATTTAATACATTTTAGGAAAGCTATTACAAAACAAAAACTAAACATTTGTGACAAAGAGTTTTAGCGAAGCACTTCATTTAAACTAACTAAAACTTTATTACTAAATTTATGTATGTATAAGAATGTACGCTTTTTGCTAAGAAATTATATTTCGTTTCAATTTAAAGAATTAATTAAAGCAGTATATAGTCCCACTTAAACGCTAACTAATTAAGCCGACTTTGTAATTCATTTAGGTAGTTAAAAAAGTTTGCACAAGAACTCATATTCTTGGGCAGTCGCAACAACAATGAGCACAAGTTTGGCAAAACAAAATTTGTTTTTCATTTTCGTTTTGGGAACACTCCACTGCACATCGTCCAAAAGTACGAAAAGTTTTTCCCCGCCCCCCGCCGCGTTTTCCACAGCGATTTTTCCTTAGCATTGCCCATCTGAAGTCCACGCAACAACAATTTTTCAAGGCGAAATGGACGCGCCAAAAAAAAGGGGGCAACACACACACACACATTTATAAACAGAAAAAAATATCCCCAAACACACACAATGACATAAAGTACGCACCAAGAAGAAAGCTCCAGCTTACCCACACACACATACACACACACACGAACAGAAGTTGCGGTTGAAACGTACAAAAGTACAAGGGCAAATACAACAGCAACAACAACAGAAGGCGGCGAAAATAAAAATGGGGAACCAAAAAAAATAAAACAAACAGAAAAAGAAGAAAAACGTAGTACATAAAGTGAAGGAGAAGGAGGAAACTCCAAGAACATGTGCAGAAACAACGGCGACAAACGAAAGAGATACAAGCTGTAGTTGTAGTTGTAGTTGTAAAAGTCCCCACAAACAGAAGAAAAAGCAAAAAGTAAAAGAAAATAGAGGCGCAAAAAATTCAGCAACTTGTGGAGGTGCACGGCGGGTGGAAGGGAGGAAGGGGGGAGGCGCGGGAAGAGCGGGAGGGTGGTGGGTGGACAGATGGCCGGCAAAACTTTTGCAGCGAAAATATAAAAATGGAGCGCACGTCTGTGACAAAAACAAGAGTGGAAAAAAATGAAGGTGATGGCGGTGTGTGTGTGTGGGGGGAGGGGGGTGAGAGCATGAATGGGAAGTCGACGTCTGCCAGTCGCCGCAAGAAGAAGAAGCAGCGGCGGAAGGAGGACTTTGCGTGCATGTGTGTGTGTGTGTGATTGCAAGTGGGGGAGAGAGAGAGAGAGAGAATGAGAGCGGGTGGAAATGGACCGCCGTTTGAGCTATTTTTTTCGCTTGCCCCCTTTTAGCTTGAGTAATTTTTTATTCCTCAGCGACGGCGACTTGAGTGCGAAGCAAGTTGAGCGCTCCCCTATTTGCTCAAGCGAGCAAACGTCACCCGTTGTCCGCCAGTGTAATGCGGTTGCTGTCCCCGCTTAAGCGGTTGCTGTTTAAATAACTTAATGTTAACACTTAACAGCGCAGCGAAGTTTCGCTGTACAGCTATAACATTTCTTTTTATTTTCAAATGAATGATTTGCTTATAAATGTTTAATTTGCTTAATTATGCATAAGTAATGCGAGTTTGGTGCAGGTTTAAACTACGCAAAATAATTGATGTTTAAAAGGCATTATTATAAATTAATAATGTGTCTTACTTTTAGAATTTCGATTACTATTTATTACCATATTTACTTAAAAATACTTGGAATAAATGTTTTTCTTAATTTGACATTTAATGTTTTACTCAAAGACTGCGATTTTTGGGCAGACAAATCTACATAATTGTTTGACAACAAAACGACTAAGAAATTAGCTTTTAATTTTTACCAAAAGAAAGTTTATCTTAAGTCAATCAAGTTCAAGTACTCAATTCGTATTTTTAATGGGTCAATCAATACTAGTTGACTTTTAAATGAATAAGCAAGTTGTAAGGACACCGAATGGATGCGCCCACCGATCCAATTAGTTTCGCAATTGATTAGCCCAATTTGCTAATTTGCTTTTCCCACAGTTTCCCCAAAGGTTAAGCCCTTTGACCTGCCTGCCCATTATGGCCTAAAATCGATCAGCCCAGAGCATGCAAATCAATATTAATTACCAGTTGCGGCAACAACAAACCCCAAGTGCATCCCCTTTCCCCCCTTTACTCTATATATGTACAATATATGCATATAGTCTATATGTCCGGACGAATCGGAACAACGGGAATTAATGAAGCGCACAAATGACAATTACAATGGGGCGTTGTCGTCAAATGCAAAAGCAACAAATCGAGCACGTTGCTGCACTGGAAACGAAATGTAGGTGAGTATAAACTCGACAGTCAGTTTGTATATTATAATATCTATAATGATAATATATATTATAATATCTATAATGATAATATATATTATAATATCTATAACGATAATATATATTATAATATCTATAACGATAATATATATTATAATATCTATAACGATAATATATATTATAATATCTATAACGATAATATATATTATAATAACTATATATCTATCTATATATCTATATATCTATAATATATATTATAATATCTATAACGATAATATATATTATAATAACTATATATCTACAGATCTACGGTCTATTATTTCCTATCCATTATAATTCTTAGCTGAAGCAATATATAATTTCCGTATCTCGTGTGAAAACAATAAATATTTGAATTTCACTAAACTTTTGAATGAATGAAGGTGTTGCGAAAAAAGATTTTGTTAAGTAAAATATATAAAAAATAATTCAATTTTTAATATGTAATAGTTTACACTTTAATGCCACATTATTTGCATATTTACTAAACCAACATGAATATTTACTCAATCGCGCAGTGTAGCAGATCGGTTGCGGTGGGTGGACCTCAGATAAAAGCGGGAGAAAAGTGGGAGCTTGGATAGAAGGGGTTTTCGGTGGGGGCGGCTGAATGGGAGTGGGGAGGGGGGCTCTACCCAGATAAGAACGACCCTGAAAGTAATTGTGAGCATACTATACTGCCTCCCCTCCATATTTGTGCGTTCAATTTAAAAAAGAACCCATTTTGTGGTCGATGTTGTTTTGTTTGTTGACCAACCAATTAGCAGGTGGTAATTTTTGGGTGCAGTGTATTTCATAGCTGAGCTGATGGCCACTGGAATTTGAACGATCTTGCTGCGCTGTTTAGTAAATGGAATTATCTCCAGATGATATATTAAGCTTTAGCTGTGTGATTTAACACTTGTATTTCATTTTATTCGGGTTTTTGCCAAAGAGAAAGATTTACGAGTTTTAGATAAGAGGAAAGTTGCCAAAAATAGTCTTGCACGCAGTTATCTTATCTACAAAACAGAACAAATACCTTTCAATTGCAAGAAGTACATAAATCGCAGTCCCTAAATAAAGGAAATCGTTTTCTTATCCTATTTTCAAGGATATTAACTCAAGGATATACGATATCGTATTTTGAAGGATATTAACACATATCTACATGAATAAAGTTTCCTCTTGGTCTTAAATCTAAACAGAAACCTAAAGTTCATATCATTGTATTGATATGATGTATTCCAAATGTCTTCTTACAAATCGTTCTTTATTGAGAAAGCAACACAATTTTAGAAACCCTTGCTAAACAAACTGAAGATCTAGTATCGACTCACCTGTAGTTCCGATTCGGTGACGTCGATTTCGCCACGATAAACAAAATCGATGATGGTCTTCAGGTCGGTGAAGATAATGTCGGCGGGCAGGATGATAGTGGGATGTTTGCACGGGTTCTCGAGCAGTAGTTTTTGGAAATACGTCGAACAGGCGGACAGGACGACCTGCAGTTTGGGAACATAGATATTAATTAGCTACAGGGTCTATAGTTCAGATTAGTTTAGAGAGATACTACAGTCTCTATAGTTTGGTTTAGTTTAGAGATAGTATAGGTAGTCTCTATAGTTTAGTTAATTTTAGAGATAGTATAGGTAGAGTCTCTATAGTTTAGTTTACTTTAGAGATACTACAGATACAGTCTCCATGATTTAATTCAGAGATACTATACCTTGTGCGCCTTGAGGGATCCGTGCTCGCAGGACAGGGTGACGTCCACAAAGGAGAGATCCTCGCGCAGCTGCTGGAACACTGACGTCATCGTGTTCTGGTAGTTATTCCAGCGCAGACTGAAGTACTGATGTCCTCGAACCGCTGCCATTTTGATGAGGTTTTAGTACGCCTTTTCACACGCTCGGCGACTGAATTCCAGTTGCCAACTTTTGTTTATGCTTCTGACGTGCTCAACACGCTGGCTAAATGTGTGTAGTTGTGTGTGTATCCGGTATCCTGCTGGAAAAGCGGAGGAAAAGCACCAGTTTAATGCGTGTGTTGGCAAATCAATCAATACCGACTTTAAGGACGACTGACTGCATCCTCCTATCAGAGTTGCGGGCGAATTGCCGTCCCCGATGCAACTGAACCACCGCCAACCACATGTTGAAGATGCTACAAAAGGAGTCGCAGCCAGTCGGTCCATTGTGTTCGAGAGCCTTACAGCCTCACAGACTTGCAGCCTTACAACGAGTTGCGGGGAGTGGAGCGGGAGCGGGAGGGGGGTGGATAAACTATGCCGAAGACAGGTAGGCGAAATATTCTATGGGAGCTCTGGTCGAATAGCAAATGCCCTACATAACACATGGCAATTATGTAGCAGCCTAAACAGCTCACATCGAAATTGTTTTGAAATACATGGAAATCGGTATTTGATTTTTTATATACTGATTTTGTGGGTTAATAAACATTCTATCTATGTATCTATAAAGCTTAGGTGCTCCACGAATAGCAACTATTTGAACTTTTTTTAGTGCTGGTCATGTCGCCTGGTTTTGTTTTGCACATTTTCATGTAAAATGTTGGGCCAGGCCCGAAGGAAGAAAACCGAAACTGAAACCAGTTTTCAGTGAAACTTCATTTTTGTATGCCCTTTCAAAGGGTATGATAACGCGGTCACAAGTTTTCAACTAAATGAAGTGGTATTTACAAGTAAAACGCTCTAAATACACTAATTTTCAATTCAAAAAAACACGTTTTGGAATTAAAAAGTTTATTTTGTATGTGCATTTCAGTACTATAAAAAATAATTATCATAAAAATTGGTGAGCTACAATAAACATTTTTATTTATGAATTATTTTCTTAAATGGACAAGTACATATTCCTGGAGACATGGAACATTTGAACCAGCCTACATTCAAACTCACTACACAAAACTCCCAAATAGCAGGTAGAGTATCTGGAACCTGTGTTCCTCGAACCAAATTCCCTTTCTCGTTTTCAATGGCACGTTGTGGTGCCTGCAAGTTGTTTTTGCTAGTTGGGGCATTGTCAAAAAAAGGGAAGGAACATAAAAAAGAATAATAGGAATGCTGAAAGGATGCTCGAAGAGGCAGCTTGCCGTGCAAATAAAATGGGAGGCAATGGAGCGACGATGAGGGGATGAGGGGGAGAGGGAGGAGAAGCCAACTTTTGCTTGCAACTTGCAATGCGGAGGCTAGAATGCAACCACAATTTTATGCCGAACAATAAGCCCGATTTTCAAGGCACTTTTTTTTTTATTACAAATCCACTACACTGGACACTCAAATCAATTTTTTTTTTAGTTATTAGCATATTTCAAAGTGTAATTAAGAAAAATGGTTAAATAATAATTGTTGCATTTGCCAAACATCATTTATCTTAGAGAAATTTGTAAGTTGCAAGTTTTTGCTCCACTGTATTTGCATTTCGTTTTCGCAGAAGAGTCGCAATCAAAACAAAACGGCGGCAAGAAAAGGTGTGCAAGAAAGAGGAAGAATAGGTGTTGCCACCCACTCGAAAATCGGCGGGCCTCTCTCCCGCTCTGCCTCTGTCTCTCTTCGGAGAGACTTATCATTAATCGCGCATTATGCGGTCCGTTTGTTCCCGTTGCTGCTGCTGCTCTTCTTCTTACTTTACTAGACCAATTCCACGTTGTTTTTTTTCCTGCTATTGTTCGCCCCATTGTTGGCATCTCGCTCACGCACACCCTTGCAGCGATTTGCCGCCTTTTGGAGCCTCTTCTGCACTTTCCCCGTCTTCCTCTTCCTCTGTGCATGTTTATTTGGCAAATGGATAATGTGTGTTCGTACTTTTTTGTATGTTTGTGCAATAGCTTTTTCACTTTTCCTTGCCCTTTAATATTTCTTTACTGCACTTTATGTTTCGACACCCTACTTGGCCTACGGAAGACCTATCGGTTCTAATAGGATCTACATATATTATAACTTATATATTGGTACATGAGGCATCTAGCAATCGTTGGTAAAAATGGTGCTATGTAAATGTTTTAAGCCTACATATTTGTAATTGCTAACTTGTTTTTACAAGGAAACTCAAATTGTTAAGGATCTTGGAATCAAATATGTGTCCAACCATAGTTTCAATACAAGTAATTTAAAAATTAAATGTTAATGTCTGTGCTGCGAGTCTGCGCTTAATTTTAATTAATTTAATTAATTTTACAAATTTTACTTGATTTAAGACAAATAATGCAGAATACTGAAGAACGTAACCCACTGTGCCTACTGTGACTACTGCCGAACCCTTTTGTGACCACTGTGGCATTCCAGGCAAACCAACTTCGTTTTCGTTGCGTCTCCTCTTCGCCCGTGCATGGTGTGCATGCGAGCGAGCGAGACAGCCATGTGGCGGGGAGCGTGCGAAGAAGGGGCACAACGTAAAAAAGGAGAAGAAGAACAAGAGGGGGAGGCAAAGGCGCAAGACAAATGACAGCGCGCTGCGAAATGAGTGAGTGGGTGAAGGAGAGGGGAAAGAAAATGGATTTTAAACATTTTTGTTTTGATTATTATTGTTCTTGTTCGTCGCAAAACTTTGCAAAGTAAGAGGGGCAAAGGGAGGCGCAACAGCGAGCGCAATGTAAGCAACAGAGAGGGAGAGAGACAGAGAGCGAGAGGAAGAGGACGAGGGAGAGAGAGTGGGAGAGCGGTGTAATGCAAATGTAACGCTGAACAATTGCATTTGCCAATTGAAACCAATTGAAAGGTTTGCAGTATTTTGCAGCTTCTTCTTTTGCCCATTTATTTGCACCCATTTTATTGCACTCTGCAAACAACAAATATGTTTCGCCTCTTATTTTTAGTTGAGTTTGTGGGGCCGCTGTCCTTACCTTTTCGCTATTTATATTTGATTTTCGCTGCTGCTGCAATTTGCCGCCTGCCTTTTTGCATAATAATAGAGGAAATACGTCAAAGAGTTCCCGTTACGTTGCGTATTTGTTGTTGCTACTAGTTTATTTTTGCTTTTTGTGTTTTTTTCTTTTTGTATTGCACTGCATGCGTATTGACCGCCAGTTTTGTGTTGTTTTTGCAGCTGCTTCTCGTGTGTTTTTTGTTGCTTCTGATCTTTTTCGTTTGTTCGCCTTTTCCCGTTTCTTTTTTCTTTTTGAAATCAATTATTGTTCGGTTTTTATTTTTATTTCTCGCTACGCCTTCTGCTTCTACGCTCGCTCACTAACACACGCGCGCACGCACGCACACGTACACACACACACACGCATTGCGATTGGTTTTTCATAATTCGCAAAGCAAGAAACTTCAATTTGATTCTATTTGATTTTACTGGCCTGGCACGCTGTCGCTACATATTTTTGCCATTTGGCTAACCATTTGCATTGGCGCCGCACTTTGACCGCTTCATAATGCGCCGAATTGAATTTGCCAACCGCGCTTTTCCGCACTCTTTTACGCGCACGCACCGAATTTCGCTGGCAAAACGGAATTTAAAATAATAATTATTTTTTCAGCTCGTCGTTCATCGGAGTGCTCGTGTTCGCCATTTTCGTGTGGCGCTGCCAGATCGCCGCAAGGTGCTGCAAGGTATCAAAAGGTGCTTAAAGGCTGAATACTACTTACCCACTGTGTTCAAACCGTTGGATATTTCAGTTAAAATTGAGTTTGAACTCTTTTTCATGTTCCATTGTGTAAAAAAGTGTTTTTTTTATGCAACTTCTTAATTGTTTCTAACTAGGTGGCATCGCCTTATCGAGTCTTCTTTGCTTCGCCACTTGTAGCAGCTAGTCGTCCTGCTTGCACCTATGGGATTTGCCATATTGATTTTTTTGCTATGGACTTTGAATTCGGCGCGCAAAAAATAAATATTTAAAAAAATATGTAGTTATAAAGTACGTTAATAAAAGCATGTATCTTAATGCGTTTCTTTGAGTCTTTGTGAAACCCGCAAGTTCGTCCCAAGGTGTTAAATAGGTTTTATTGTTCAGGCTGTAGAATTATCTGTATTAACAACATTGAGTTATAATACTCCTTAACACAAAAAACAATTTCATAGCTCAGAAGCGTTAGCAGTATTTAGTTATAAGTGTTTTATAACCATTTATAATTATTTATTTATTTATCAAAATAATTTTTTACATGTAACATACATGGCAGAGCTGCCACCTAGTTGCACAGCGAGACCAGCGAAAGCTGGCTGCTATAATGCTATCGATATTCATTTTATATTATCGATATGTTGGCGCGTACTCCGTTTAAATTCAAATTAAGAGGTCCCATAAAACTCGATCATTACACTGAATTTTAGAAACCCGTTTAATGCTCGTGTGCGTGCAAGTCATGATTGCTAAAATGCCAAATACTCGATGTATTTATAATGAGCAAATAAATATTCGCCACCAACGGTGCTCGTATTTGCATAATGAAGGCGAAACCATTCAAATGAGTTGCACTTTTTCCGCTGTCTCAATTTGTATAAATATGTGCGAGTGGGTGGGAGTCGCCTAGCCCCCCATAAAAAACGAAGCCAGCATACAAAATGACTGATTTGCAGCGTAAGCTAAATAGATACAAATGTATCTAAATATGTATCTGTATGTGTACGTAGAGATTTGCATTTGGATGCGTGAAGCCGCGGGTAAAAGCTAATAGCTAATGGAGAACTTACGTGCCAATTGACATTCATGAGTCCCAAGGCCGAATACATTAAAATAATTGCATGTTCTAGCTCCGCGGCAATAGAACAGTGAAGCACAAAATCAGCAGCAACAAAAAACAAACATAATTGTTGCATGATCTGATCGGTAATTAATTGCCCCGCTTTTCTCACTTTCCGGTGCGGAAAAATCGATCGAATGTGGGCCTTGGAAGGGGGCTGGAAATGGGCTGGAAGGGGGCTGGAAGTGGCATTCCATTGAGGTCGTTGCAACAATTGACGTGTGCACCTATTTACCCGCCGAAAAACACGCAGCTATGCTATGCCCATGCACATACATACATACATATGTATATGTATGTACATAATATATACACGTATGCCATATAATTATAGGCCACCGAAATCCCGCGCCCCCGGCCCCGCCCCCCGCCAAACCCACAAACGCACCCTACTCCACTCGAATAACCCCACTAGCCAGCCCCATAAACATGCTATATGCACCCAAGCACACACACATCGTATTTGCCTAGGTACTTGCACCGCGGATTGAGTGGCGGGCGGAACTTTGTCGTGTCACGAGGCGGAATCGTTTGACACGATCCGTGAGATACAAAGATACTTATCCAAAGGATTGTAGAATAGATCAAAAACATAGGCTCACCTTTACGATTTTCAAAATATATAATGCATACCACTGGTTTTTATCCTTAAATACTTTACTTTGTATAAGAACAAACCACTTTAGTTTTGAAGAATAATTAATTGAGGAAATCGTTTATTATAAACATTTTTTTAAAAATCCTTGAAAAATTTCACCAACATATTATACAAATAAGAATACAAAAAAGCCTACAACTATTTATTAAAAATAATTATATTTAGTGTATATAAAGCTACATATGTATGTACATATTATATAAGATATAATTAATATTAATATTGATATATCTAATATTATATTATATTAAGTAGAGCAATGAACGTAAGTACATATTAAGTTGATTTTATGTTGTAATGCATGGTTTTCAAAGTTTTCTTCTTGGATTTACAACTTAGATCGATTGAAGTGTGGACTCCATGGTTCTTTGAATATTCACATTGAAGTGGGCGCTGTGTTTCCCCAAAGTAATCCAAGTTAATCAGTATTGATTTAACATCCCATTCCGCAGAAAATAAAAAAAGTTCCAACGACTTGCTGTGCCATCTCTAAAACACACACACACTCACACGCACAGGTTCCACAATTAGAGAAGGACAAAAAAACGAAACAAAAGATCCCCCACACCAACAACAACACCGCCAACAACAACAACAACAAAAGGCCACAACAACAACGGCAATTGGGATCGAAATGGAAACAGCGCGCTGCTCCAAAAAAAGCATAAAGCACGTAAATGGAAAATGCGCAGGGAAAGAGCAGGAGAGAGTGAGCAAGAGAGAGCGAGAGAGATAGAGAGTGAGAGGGGGGAGAGAGTGGGAGCCGGAAAATGAGAGTGAGCGCATTAGAAGCGCTCTGCTGCAACAATTAATGCATATTAAGGTCAGCTTTTTGCCCTTCTGCGCTGCTTACAAAAAGAAGCCAAGTGCGGCCCACAGGTGGCGCCAGTGGCTCTAAATCAAAACTGGGATTACAAGCGTAATCTTCCAGAAAAACAAAAAAAGAATTGCTGTTTTCAAAACTTTATTATCTTTTGAGCTGTAAGCAATATTATTGAGTAATTGGCTTATTGAGTAATTGGCATTACTTGAGTAAATAAAACTTTAGTTAAGGAAGTGAGTACTTGTAAGTTGTACTCAAAAACAAATACAAATCGCAAAGACAATTGAGGCATTGTTAAACAATTTTCCGTTGATAACGCGCTCAAAGTTACAAGCATTTATGTCAAATTATTTGAAAAACATGTGAATTACATGTCTGGAATGTTTTATGTTCATATGTACATATATTGATGATCCACACTTTTCATTTCCTGTTCAATTTAGTTGCCTCAATTGTAAGTTTCCAAAAGTTGTCAGTTCAAATTCAATTCATTACATTTGAAAGTTGCAAGTACATATAAATAAAACACATTCGATGTGAAAATCAATAGTTTTACTTTAGCAACTTTGGAGCATTTGGGTGGAAATTTGAGTTGTGAAAGATCGGTGGAGCGAATAAACATAAATAGCGCTGATTTCACGGTCGATGATCCACAAACTGGGCTCCCAAAACAGATAAAAGCGATGCCAATGAGCATACAACCCACTCGAAATGCCCAAAAACTTCTGTTTTTGGCATGGAAAGGAAGCAACAACAAAGCAACAACAACTGCAAAAACAACAACAGCAGCAGCAACAACCAGTTAACAAAAACCACAATTTACAGAGCGATTGACGTCATTTGGAAGGTTTATACATTTTTTTTTCTATGGAAAAGTTTATGTAAGTCTGTGGGCAGAAAATATGTGTGCATGTGTGCGTGTGTGTGTGTGTGCGAGTGTGTTTGTATTAGTGCGCGTGTTGGGCGACAAGTGCGATGCATTTCTTGAATGGTGCGCATGCACTCACCCCTTTGCCACCCCCTTTTGCCCACACCCCTTTCCCCTTTCCCCTACCCTTCCGCCAGCCAAAAACCGCGAGAGCGAGGGAGTGAGGGAGAGAGCGTGCGAGAGAGAGGGAGTCGAAGAGCTTTTATGAGTGTGTGCACTGCAATTTCATGTCATAAGTGCATAAAAATTGCAAGGCCCTGAAAAGCGGTTCGCTTCACATGACAAACATTAGATTTATCAGTCGAGCTCTCTCTCTAACGCTCTCTCGCTCTCTCTTCCTCTATCGCGGTCTCTCTCTCTCGGTTATCGCCATCTCTTTCGTGGTCGCTCCAGCGCTCATTATCTAATGTTCACTTTAGAGGTTTTTGCAAAAAAAAAACTGCAATAGTTAAAACTATAAACTGCCCTAGAACTTTTTTTTAGCTACTAACTTATGCACACACGCGTAGATAAAAAGTTCGTATGCAAGTACAGCGCTGGCCAACGGAATAGCAACACTACCAACTGAGATTACAGCTGTTGCAAAGTTTTGATATCTAATTTTTGGCTGGGAAAGTCAGTTGTATATTTTTGTGTAAGTTCTCACATTAATAAAAATATTATGTTCGCGTAATAAATTAACTAAACAGATACATTTTTATTTTGGGATGAGGATTTAAGATCCCTATGTTTCTAATTGAGTGAACATGGCTTAGGATCGCATTCTACTTATGATTCAAACGTATTTCAAATATATCATTATATTTTATATTATATTGTTTTATAATTTATAATTTTTAATTTATATTTATGTACATACCTAAACCAAATTTCCGGAGTCCCACGTGTGTTTGGAGTGCTTTAAAAATGCTAATAATATAAGTAAAAAAGGTGAGCCCAAGCAAATGAATAATTATACCAAAAAGTAGTAATTAAGCACTTTTTCATGCATTTTCGTCAATTGGCGGACATATAATTGCAACCACACTTGTTAGGCATTTGCTATCGCGATTCTAGTTGCAGTTTTTGTTGACGTGTTTCATTTTCGCAGCGAAGCCCTTCAATGGATGCACACACACAACACACACAGACACCCACACACACACAACCGCTTTGCCCAGGTGTGTTTAACTGAAAGGTAGAGAGCTAGCCTCTAGAATTATCCACGTGCATATAAATATGTGCCACTATATGTACATATGAGTGTGGTTCTAAGTACATGCATACATATGTAGTTCCAGCGATAGGTGTTGCATTTTAGTGCATTTTTCGCTGTTTTTAATAATTCAGCTCAACTAAAGTAGCTGTGATCCCCAATCGATGCATTAAAAGGCAATCGAAGCACTTGTAACCAATTGCAGATCGTTGGGAAATTATCATCA